ATCCTTCTCTTTTTTTTTTTTCTTCTTTTTTTTTTGTTCAGCTTCTTTTTACATAATAATATTCCACCGCGTGTAACGCCGTGTCCCGAGAACGTTTCCCCTTTTGCCATTTAAACAGATCACAAGACGCACTGTTATCATCGCCCGGAGAATTGATGTTAACGATAAGACCACAACGAAGAAAAAAAAGAAAAAAAAAAGGAGAAGAAAAAATATGTATATGGAAAAACAAACAACAGAAAAAGTACAAATACATATAACAGTGACGATAACATCGTTGTTCTTCCGACACGGCGCTGCGTTGTTTAAACATTTATACTTTTTTTTCTGCATTTTTTTTTTATATTTTCTTGGAATTGACTTGTGAAATATTTTTTTCTATCGTCGGAACATCGTCGAGCCCTTCGGGTAATCACGCAATTAAATCACATGCCGCGCGTGTGATTAGAAAAAACGACAGTGCTAAAAAGGACTAGAGGCTACATTAGAATTAGTAAAAACGAAGACTAAACGTTAAGCGATACCACATGTGTAATAATAACACGTTTTCGTAAAGAAACGTTATCATTTTCCTCTTACGATTTTTTGTACTTTTTTGATTAGGGTTCATTATTTGGCCGAGCTAGTTACCATTAAATCTTTGTCCATTCGCGAATACCTCGTATTACAGTTATATGTATATATACATACATATACGTACATATACATATATACATATATATATAACAAATGTATATCTTGGTGCTTATATAGTACTACTTGTTTCTTTGTTCTCATATTCGCTTTTTCTTTTTAAAATTTTTTTTTTATAAAAGTTCTATTTTACTGCTACATTCGCGGTGACTACACCATGCGTACGGGTGATCCACTCGCACAATGTTGCTCTTGCTACTTCCATTTTTTTTCTTCTTTTTATTCTATGCCCTCTTCATCATGTTTCACGCAGGGTAAAGTACAGCTTAACTGGTACTTTCTTTACGTTAACGCACACCAGAGGCGGCCACGGAAAAAAACACAACGCTCTGCCTTGCCTCTAGTCAGAGAAAAGTGTCGTTGTAATTCGGCTACGCCGTATCGCTTTTACGCTAATATTAACACAGCTCAGATTTAACAAGTGATCCAAGGACGATTACAGAATTTTTTTTTCCGGCCCTTAGATTTACTTATCTTTAAAAATCACATGATCTGTACCAGAGTCTCCGAGTACTTTCACACACATGATCAGACAAAAAGCACGACCGA